TGCACACCAGCCGGATGCACGCATTGCATCCTGCCGCCATCAATGCCTTCGATTGTTTCACGCCTCACAGGTAACACACCTGGCGCCTGGTCGAACACGCATTGTTGACCACGGGGGCATATGAGGAGGCTCCGCAGAAGGGTGCAGATACGGGGAAAGGACACGCGATGTCTTTCCCCCTGCACCTCTGAGCCTCAACTTCCAAGCAACGCCTTATAAAGAAAAAGAGCGTGCGCACATGTTTGTCGGTCGCACCCTTTTATCTTGGACCGCATGTTCCCTTTCGGATTGAAGCAGTGATCAAGATTCTAACAGTCATGGAGCTCTGATTTGGTGGATGAGGTTTTCTTCGGCGACGTCAGATGTTCCGCCCCTCAACGGAAAATCGTTCGAATACAAACAGCTTGCTGTTGATCCGAGTTCAGATGACTGGTCTTTTCTTGCAGTGTGGGATTGCGCAAAGGAGGAATACTTCAAGACGCTGGTTGCACCGTTTGGCTTGGTCATGTCGGTTCACTCCTTTCTCCGGCCCTCATTTGCCTTGTGGACTATTGGCTGTTTGCAGCTGGCTTTGATTTGGACAGTGTTCTACGATGATTTCATTACGCTGTCGCCGCCGAGGCTGGAAATCTCTGCGGACAAATCGGCGAGACTACTGTTCGATGTTTTGGGTTGGGTGTACGCCAAGGAGGGCTCGAAGGACACAACCTTTTCCAAAGAAGTTGCTGGCCTCGGAGTTTTGATCGATCTCAGCCACTTGCATGTCGGATCCGTGAGCTTCAGGAACACGCCTTCCAGGATTGAAGAAGTTTGTTGCCAGATCGATCATGTGCTGGAGACCGGGAAGTTGCCTTGCTCATTGGCGCTACAGCTGCAAGGGCGGTTGCTTTTCTCGTGCAGCCAGCTATACGGACGGTCGGGACGCGCAGCGCTGAAAGTTCTTTCAGATTTTGCCTACTCGCCAAGTAACAGGTCGCTTGATACAGAAAGCAGGTGCATCCTGAACAAGTTTGTCTCGACTATGAAGTCTGGACGGCCGAGGACTGTCACTCAAGGCCTGTCAAACACTCTGCATGTCTTTACAGACGCGGCTCTTGAAGGAGATGCTGCAGTTTTGAGTGTCGGAGGAGTTTTGGTTGAGTCCTTTGGGAATTACTTCCAACACTTCGGTGGCGCCGTCCCTCAATCTGCGCTTGACTTGCTGGCTTGGAATCCGAACGACAAAATTATTTTCGGAGGTGAGTTGCTGGCAGTTGCAATAGCATTCTTCATTTGGCAACAACTTTTGGAGGATGCGCAGACTGTTCTTTATACAGACAATGAGGGAGTCAAGTTTGCCCTAATCCGTGGCGCATCAAAAGCCGCTTACACTGTTGCAGTCATGGATTTGGTTTTGGACCTTGAGACCAACATGAGTTTCAATGTATGGTACACCCGCGTGCCAACGGAAGCCAATATAAGTGATGCGATTTCAAGAGGCGATTTTTCTTTCCTACAATCACGGGGGAGCATACCGTGGTCGGACTTCTGCAATGCCGTTTCGGAATCGTCAAAGTTGACAAGGGGTCGATGAGCACGATCCGAATATGGGCTAAATCACAAGGGTGATTTGCAGGCACCATGACAATGGTCATGTGCCTGCTAGAGGTGCAACGGCACCCACAATGAATGCAGAGTCCTGACTTGTTGGCTGCCCCCATGTGAGAAGAGGAGCGACCTTTCTTTGCATATCTATTGCTATCACTTGAATGTGATACCGAATGTACTGAAGTTTTAATATTTCAGATGATTTCAAGTTTTTGAAGTAGTAGTGTCTCATGTTGTGTATAAGTTGTCTCAGTAGACAACTAATATGGGGGGTTCTGGGTTTTGGCTCAAGAATAAGCGATTGTCTTGGAACAAGATAATGCATTATTAAGGAGCCAATATCCGAATATGTTCATGTTGAATGCAACATGATACCCCCCCCATGTGATACGAGCACAACATGTTGCACATTTTTTTGAAATGTGGTTACGCAAAAGCAAAGGTGGCGTTGCCGTTTCGAGTCAAGGGTAGGGAGGGAGGGTCCCGCTCCCATGGTGTGAAACTCGTTTGCCCGCCCACCCACCCTACCTGAGCACGATCCGAATATGGGCTAAATCACAAGGGTGATTTGCAGGCACCATGACAATGGTCATGTGCCTGCTAGAGGTGCAACGGCACCCACAATGAATGCAGAGTCCTGACTTGTTGGCCCCCACGTGAGAAAAGGAGCGACCTTTCTTTGCATATCTATTGCTATCACTTGAATGTGATACTGAATGTGCTGAAGTTTTAATATTTCAGATGATTTCAAGTTTTTGAAATAGTAGTGTCTCATGTTGTGTATAAGTTGTCTCAGTAGACAACTAATATGGGGGGTTCTGGGTTTTGGCTCAAGAATAAGCGATTGTCTTGGAACAAGATAATGCATTATTAAGGAGCCAATATCCGAATATGTTCATGTTGAATGCAACATGATACCCCCCCCATGTGATACGAGCACAACATGTTGCACATTTTTTTGAAATGTGGTTACGCAAAAGCAAAGGTGGCGTTGCCGTTTCGAGTCAAGGGTAGGGAGGGAGGGTCCCGCTCCCATGGTGTGAAACTCGTTTGCCCGCCCACCCACCCTACCTGAGCACGATCCGAATATGGGCTAAATCACAAGGGTGATTTGCAGGCACCATGACAATGGTCATGTGCCTGCTAGAGGTGCAACGGCACCCACAATGAATGCAGAGTCCTGACTTGTTGGCCCCCACGTGAGAAAAGGAGCGACCTTTCTTTGCATATCTATTGCTATCACTTGAATGTGATACTGAATGTGCTGAAGTTTTAATATTTCAGATGATTTCAAGTTTTTGAAATAGTAGTGTCTCATGTTGTGTATAAGTTGTCTCAGTAGACAACTAATATTATGAGGGGGGGTTCTGGGTTTTTGCTCAAGAATAAGTCTTTGGACGGACGGGTGGACCATGCTCTGTTGTCGGGTTGCTTCATTGCTCCCTTTTTCTGTCAAAGGCTTTTTGTGTTGTTGGGTTGTTTGGCTTGGCTTGGTTCTGTTTTTGCTGTGGTTGCTTTTCCACTTGGGCTTTCTCATTCATTGTCTCTCTTCGCTGAAACAGCGGACTGGCGTGATCGTAACGGCCGCTCGGTTCAAAAAAAGAAGGAGGCAGGGCATGGTGTTTGCAGCTGAGCTGCTCGAGGCAAGATTTGAGCTGGTTATTTAAAGGATGTTGCAGAAAGGCATTAGGATGCTATACAAGCATTACGCTGAGCAAGGGAAGCGTGCGCGCTGCTAATAAGCAACATAGCGGTTTTCATTGTGACTTTGGGCTCGTGTTTGACAGCAATGTCAAGACAGAAGATGTCATATTTAAGACCAAAAAAACAAAAACCAAAAAATCACGTTGGTGAAGAGAGAGCTGACAGTTGTAGACGACAGGCTGCAGCGTCATAGTCTCTCTGTGGGGATCGAACAAAAAAGGATCATGACGGAGGCTGAATCGATGATTTCGAACCAAAGCTGAGGCACGACAGGTGGTGTGCAGTGATTGCAGCAGCAATATCACCCACCATGCCAGCAGCCTTTCTGCCATTTATCAATGCAGACACGCTTGACAATGCACAGCTGTCAAAGCGAGTCGCGCGGCTTGCTGCATTCTTTTTGAAAAAACAATGGAGACGCGCGAAGCTTCGGCCTGGTCTTCACCATCTCGATTTCTCCTTCGCTTTTGCTGTCTGGCCTTGCGCTCCAGCAGCTCGACTTCGAGCTTCTGCAGCTCTTTCCATGCTTCATCGGTGACGCGCCCGTCCTAGCAGACCGGAGGCGCGCTTGTGGTCCAGCTCCGGTTGAAGCTGCGCAAACCTTCATACTTTGGTCTACGACCATCTTCTCGGGTACAGCCCTCTGGCTGGACTGCGTCCTGGGCACTCGTCCACCGTATGGAAACCAGCAAGTCCATTCTTGTGCCTTGTTGCGCGACCGAGCGGAGTTTCACAACTGTGGGTAAACATAACAGCCGCCGTATTTTGAAAGTTGGAAAAGCAGCCCCACTTTGAGAGCTGTAGCAAACGCAAGGAGCCGGTTTTTCCGGAAGGTGTGGAGTTCTTGGTCGTGGAGAGCAAACTTACAACAAGAGCAACGGTGATTTTGCAGCGGAGATGTCTTGGAAGAGCTGTTGAAAAGGTTTGCAGTTTGCAGTGTTCTTGTTTGCTCTGGCAACGCAGTTGGCTGTGGAGGAAGTGTCGGCCACGATGGAGCAAGCTTCTTCGCAGCAAGCCCATTTGCACGCTTACTTGCATTTCGCACGTCCTTTCCTCGAGTGCTTTCCTTTTTCCCCAAATGCGGCCTCACTTGACCTCCAACACTGCGTCTGGAGAAGTTTTTATGGGGGTTGTTCGCTTTGGCCACTTCTACATCGTGGCGGAGAAGGTTGGGATTGTGCAACTTGGCCGTGACTTGGGAAAAAGTGATTTGAGTTTACACACGCCTCGAATGTGTTGTACAATGTGATTTGCGCAAAACGAGGCTTCGGACGGACCAGGAACCCTTGAGAGGCCTTGAACCTTGAAACGAGGCCTCGAAAAGAGTCCGAAAGGCGTCGAAACGCTAGGAAACACTGGCGCATCAAACAGGCTGCCCAAGGAATAGAATCGAGGCGCGAAACAGCAATGCAAACAAAGTTTTGAATTGAGTAAATGCATGTGTGAATGCCAGGGGGAAATGCATGCAACCACCCCAACGATGCTGCAGCACGAAAGAGTCTTCTTCACACGTGGTGATCGGGTTGAGCATTTACAGTTTTTGCCAAGTGTATGATTGCTGGCAGCTGTTTGACATGATGAGGCACAGATTTATCAGTGTTTGAATATAAGTCATTTGCGGAAGGGTCTGATGAACGCTTCCTTGAAACTCGAGCATTTTGTTCGTTGGACATTCAGCGCAGTGAAACGTGGCACCATATCTTGGTACGCACAAGGCGGCATCTTGATCTGAGCAACAACCCGCGGGGGCCGCTTCTAGGGTCACCATGCTTCAAACCTCCGTCCACAGCGTGACTAACAGGCGGGTGAGGGCGAAGGGAGGTAAATCTGGACCTTTTTCATGGGGCATCGTGGATGTCAGGCCCCGACATGCAAAGAGCAGGCTTCAACCTTTGGAACACACGTGATAACACCCTTCTGGGGACCAGTCTCAGCTGTTGCGTGACCCCTTTGCGTCGCTGTGGCACACTATGTGGTCAAGGTGGACCAAATCGATCGGCTTTTGAACAGTGGCTGATCACACGCACACAGTCCTCGTCCAAAGTCCTGAACTTGTGCAGATCAATGTTGTTTGTGCTTTGCAGAACTTAGTTTTGACGTGAACAACAACAGTTGCAGACGACTCATGAAACATGTATTTGTTGGATACCTCAAGTCTTGCGGCAAAACACACGTAGGTTCGATGCTTGCGTCAGTATCGCGCAAGAAATCCGTCAATCTGGGAGTTCAACACTGAGGATTAGAAAGCAATCAACCATACCTTGATATACTCAAGGAAGTCACATAGACCAAACACACGAGCTTCAGCAACTTTCTGAGGACATGGCAGTTTGCATTTCACTAATTGTTGTAGGCAACCCATGAACATGGTGTTTTAGAACAATGCTCATTTGAGGTCATTTGAAGCACGAGTTGGGAGCACCCGTCAGTCAGCCAGAAAGTCCGGGCCAAAAGCCACTCCATGAGTCGAGAGTGGCGAAACCGGTGCTGCACTCGTGCCCCGCCAGGGCGGCCGCAGCGGCTCTTCCTCGGCTGGTGGGCCTACTGCCGGTGGCCAGGCGCCACTTTTGCCGCAGGGCGAAGGCGGAGCAGGCGGAGAAGAAGGCGGGGTCCCGATCGCAGGTGGCGGGTCGCAGGTCGTGGCTGTGGTTGTCAAGACCGTTTTGGGATCCCATGTTGGGGCAGGTGATTTCGCCACCCATTCTATGTTTTTTTAGAACCTATTTTAGTGGGGATTGGGCGAGCCATCTGTTGCATGCTACTCATTTGCTCAAACCTGGGGTCACCTAAAGAAGGCAGGGCAGCGTCTCAGGACCATTTGGAGCAACAGGGTCGTCCACTTGAGAAGCGCAGCAGGTTCGTGACCCGGACGTGCACCTAAAATAAACATCGCAAACCGGTGGTCTCAGGAACTATGAACAAACGTAAACTACTAGAAGAGCTATGCAAAGGCCTTCAACCAATGTATCCATTTTTTTTGAATGATGCGCGTGGGTTTTGAACTGTTCATCACTGGCGTGTTTTGGTCCACCGGCAGGAGCCAAACTCGCACCCGGAGCAGGAGCAGGACGGCAGTTCGCGAAAGTTGCTTGTTTTGCGCGGCTCCTTTCTCGTCCTTCGAATATTTGGTATTTGAGCCAGCTTTTCTGATAGAGGATGCTGGGGCTCATCAATATTGGATGTCTCAAGACGGGATTTCTTGGTTTGTCGGCCCAAGTGGCTATCTTCACATTCCGTAACTTGATCCAGACCAGCAAAGCATCCCCCACACACCTCGAACATTGACTTACTTTCAGATGCCACAAGCCTGGTTGACAGTGTCACACACACACAGGTCAAGGCAAGCTGAAGGTGTCGCCAGGTCCTATGTTTTTTTGGCGGGACATCCTCTGGTGACACCAGATTTCCACACCCATTCAGGTGAGCTCCCGCTGCACGAGAGTAGCGCACGCGTCACACGGGACACATTAATCAGAGAGCCATGATCATGTGAACTGTGTCTGAAACATAGCAGAGGATACAACACACCGTGCACATTCATTTACACACACACAGATCCTCAAGGGCGGCGTGCGAACATGCTTCTTTTAGCTGGTCCAATCACTAGCTTCACAAACCATTCACACACACAATAGACATATTCTTGGCTGCACCCACACCTCTATTTTTGCGGTTCGTCCCTCCTTGTGCCGATCTGTTTCAAGACACACATGACTCCTCGTCACATCATGCTGTGTTCAAGCAGCACGATGCGAATATGCATGAGTATGTGACGAAGTATGCAATTCATAATCTGCATTTTGTCATTGTCATTGTGTCACTGTCGCGTTGATACATGTATGCTTTTATGCATTTACACATGGGTTCATTTCGATTCATTTCATGTCAGTTCCGTTCCGTTTTGCTTCTTTTTTCTTTCCCTTTCATCTCTTTTTCCAAGTTTCGATCCACGCGAATCCCCGTGTTTTTCGAACCATTTCGTTTTATTTATCTATTTCGAACTATATCAAATTATTTTTAGATTTTAGATCTCGTTGTATTTCCCCCGTTGCGACTTCCCCGGTGGTTTTTTTCGCCAGGCGAGGACTCGCTGGGGCGAGCGCCTGGTGGTGCTGGGCATGGGTTTGCGGGGTGCCGCGCTGCTGCCGCGCCTGGCGCCGGCGGCCAACGCGCTGCGCTTCGCGGGCGTGGGGCCCATGGCCGTAGGCGGCGTCTCCCGGGGCGCGGAGCGGGGGACGTCGACCACGTCTCCGTGGCTTGGGGTAGGGACGCACTTTTCTTCGCGGTGTGCTTTTTTTTTGGTTGGACGTTGGATGTGGTGGGTTGGATGTGGTTGCTTGATGTGTGAGGGTGAACATGGGCTTGTTGGGCTTTGGAAAGGAAATCCAAAAGCAAAAAGGAGACCATTGGGAGAACGGTTCAGTAAAATAAAAGAACAGGTGGGGAAACCAAAGGCGCGGATGGAGTGACAGGGTTGGGACGGGCTGATTGAGACATGTATCATATGAGACCATGATGGACTATGATGATTTAGACAATGACTCCAACATGATAGTCTGGGTGAATAGGCTCTGCAGTTTCATGGGGGAAGGGCTCGTTTGGTTTGCTTTTGAAAGCCTTAAAAGCTTCCCTCACACCCAACATGGAACTCGACTGATTCCTGGAAGATCAGTCAGTCTAGACCGAGCCTTTGTGGGGTTTAGTGGGTTCCATGGCCAGGTAAGCCTCAATTCAGCACTCCCTTTGAGCTCCTTACCCAGATTTCGATTATGACTCACACAATTGACGGTGAATTTTGGTTGGATGTGGTTGGATGTGGTGGGCCGGAGGTAGCCCTTGGATTGTGGCTGTAAATGGGTTGTAGACGCCTATTTTCCCTTGAGGGCAGTGTTTCGGGCTAGTGGAAGCCATGAACTTTAGCCACATTTTTCAAGGGTGGCTGGATGTGGTTGGTTTACCTGCGATACATGGGCCTGTCTTAGAACAAGGGGGACCCCTCAAGCCGGTTTCCTCGGACAGCAAAGATGGTTGCCTTTGCCACATCCTAAGCACTGCCCACGGCAGGTCAGGCCTTTCGCCTTTGGCTTAGGCAACCCTTCGTTGGATCCTTCCTCTGTAACCTACATGTTAACTCCGGATGAATAAACCCCTGGTTGATTTTGATCAGGGGGTGTCCCCTTTTCGTGGGGATTCGTCACTTTTGGAGGGAACACCCCCCGAATAATGGGACCGGGTGCACGAATCGTGGGTCAACATTTTGGGCCGCAGGCGCCGTGGTCAGCATCTATGAGCTCGGGGGCTGGCGCAGCTCGCAACAAAAAGGCAGCAGACAAGTTGGGTGTTTGTGGGTGGAACGTTATTTAGAAACACAGGGACTCTCCAGTTGTTCACTGTCCTTTCGGGCACTGTATTTTGACCGTGCTACGAATGGTATGTATTTTAAGTCTGCGACACGCTCATTCTTCTGACTGTGCAAAGCCGAATTGGGGGATTCACCATGTTGAGTCCCCGGCCGTATGGTTTGCCACTTTGCTCCGGAAAGATCCGCAGGAAAGAACACAAATCATGGGGACGAGCTGGGCAGCTGGGACGGATTGCTTGGGCCATGGAGACTCACTCATGACTGGGTGGAATATCCTGTCGATGATTCAATCTGGGCAATCTCTTTCGGTTGCGCATCCAACAAGTTTGGCCGAATGCGAAGGATTGGGAGCAGGTAGGGATCATTTGATTGATTCGGAAGGTCATCAATCTCTTTACTAGGAAGTTGAGACAATCGTTGTCGGGGTTAGGCAGAGCCAGGGTAATTGATCACCTTGCGCGACACTCCTTGTCCACACTGTTGAGATCCCTTCGATACTTTAGAGCTGCACGTTCAAGCGGTTCAAGTAAAGCTTTCCACGGCAACTCCATGCATTCTTCAGGGCTCGCCAGGAAGCCTTCAGAAAATTGCCCTAACTGCGACATTCCTCAGCGCCATGCACACGCCAAGCGTTAAGATGACGCGCTGTTGCTGCCCGGCCAAACGCAAACTGCAATCAATGCAGCTTCAGTACCGCCTTGCTTAGGCTTGATGCTGGCAGTCCCTGCGACCCTTGGCGCCGTGGTCTCTGTGTCTCGGCATGAGATGTGTTTTTGAGAACTTTTTTCCTTGCTGGGTTGGGTATGCTTATCCGGTACCAGCTGGCAATCAAGCAGGTAGGCAAGCAGTCAAGAAAACGGGCGAGCAGGCAAGCACGCAGGCAGGCAATTCAAAGTCTACCCTAAACACGCACTATTTAATCCTCGGAAGCTAACTCCATCCAAAGCCAACGTAATCTGAAAGCTACCGCAATCATTTTGCCCCTAGACAGCTCGAGCCTCAACCGCCACCCCAAAGCCACCCTAAACTGAGCCGACACCCTAACCCCACGCTAAACCAGCCCGAAGCCCACCCCAAAACTTGAACGAAACCTTCTTTTCACTGAACCCGAAAAGATACCCAAGCGCGGGATATGAACTCCCGAGGCCAAAACAAAAATGACACATGGAACAACAAGGGCCGAGAAGGGGGGGGACCTGGGATGTTACTGGTTTCTGTATTGTGTAGTTATTGAGTGTTGTTGCCATTGCCATGATACGATTTCTCACAGCGCAGTTCAATCCTACTGTTCTTTTTCCCTGTCTCATTCGGTTTCAGCCAGGGTCGGCAAAGCACATGGAACACCCAAAAGGCCTGGTTTACTTTGGACCCCGGAGATGGCGCAAATCGGTGGCTTCAAGCTAGGAGTTGGCAGCCGTGCAAAAGGGCGGTTGGGTTGAGGCGTCCATGCTCACGGAGTCGAAGCTGGAGGATCATTTGAAGGAGGAGATCCTGAAGCAAATGGGTGCCGTGGCATCGGACCTTTCAGGACGAGTGGACCAAAGTTGACCAAGGCCCCAAACTCCATCCGTTTACAAAAAAACAATGAATCTCTCAACTTTTTGGATGTGCTCTTGGGATATTGTCCATGGTTTGTGTGGGGCAGTCGGGTCATTTAGAATGGCTGGTGTTGAAACCTAAGTCCGCCCCCGAAAGATTTGAGGCCTCAAGCTGCATGTCGGCAATGCCTAAATGGGTGCCCAAAAGACAAAGCAAAAACGTGCATTCCTTTGGGTTTCCGCTTTGACACATTCAGATGCGCCACCCTCCCCCCCTAATTTATTTGTCTATGTTTTTCGATGGCAGGGAGTTGTGAGTCATTTTTTTGTTTCCTTGAACGGCTTAGCCTCAAAGGAGGATCACCATGTTGTCAACTCGAATGGCTTTGCACCCAAACCTTGGGCTTTTGTAGCATTGGCCAGACATATTCTGAACTTTCAAGCGAGAGAGGGCTTCTTTTCGGGAAGAGTCAGGTGAAATGATCTCTGGGCTTGCTTAAACGCTGGGACCTTTCTGTTCTTGTTCTTTCTTCTTTTTTGAACGGATGGGAATCCAGTTTGGGCCGCTGGCTGAAGACTTTTTGGGTTGCGCCAACCCAACAGACACGAGAACTTTGTAGCTCTGTGAAGCAAGTGGGCGTTTCTCCAAATAAGTTGAGTCGCCGTCCCTCGAAAATCAGCCTCATTCATTGGAGACTGTCATGCAAGGGATGTAGGCTCTCTTCCCTCGGTGAGTTGGCAGGAAGCCGTTGATTTGCGCTGTTTGTGCGATGCCATTTGACACTTGCGAGTCAGATGAATTCTCCGCTAGGTGAAGTTATGAACAGGAGCCCTCCCAGGCGGCTGGCTGGATGGCTCGCCTCAACTCCCTCTTGGGCTCGTGGACATTTTCCCAGGCTCCCAGTCCTCACAAGGATGGACCAAGAGACGTGTTTCGTGGCGAGATGTAGGAAGAGTTGCTTGATTTTGCAGCACCAAACCCATGTCGACTGCTCTGACAGTGCTGAGGCGAGGCTTCCGGCGGTTGGCCGCCGGAACTGCTGCCAGCGCTGCGGGAGGCCAAGGTGTCACACTACGAGAGCAACCGCTGCAAGGTGCAGGCGACGGGACGTCGTTCGGTCCAGGGGTACAAAGGGCCAAGGCCTGTTTTTTGTTTTGTTTTGTTTCGTGTTTTTTCTTTTTGGGGGCTGTGGGAAATGATCAGACATGCACATCCAGACAAGTTGCACAGCCGGTTTCTCCCCTATATGGGGAGTGGGTTTCCTCCCAAAGTCAAAGGGCAAAGCCATTCTTCCTTTGGCTATGGGCAAGTCCGGAGCAAAACCTAAAGTAGTCCCTCTCGCGTTTCCCCTTAGACCATCCCTTGAAGACTTGGTGAGCGCCTTTTGACGTATATTTTTTGATACCGGCACCCGGTTACAGGTGGGAGAGTTGGGACTTACGTTGACTCCGAGTTTTGCAGTGTCCTTGGCAGCGGGGTGCTTGAAACTTGGGCTTAAACAGCTACCCATGCAAGCCGATGTCCGGTGTTAGGACTTGTCGGCCGGGGAATGAGGCATGGAGGGAGAGCCCTGGCAAAAGCTGAAAGGACAAGGGTAGGGACCCTCTTAGCCAACTATCATGTTCAAATGGCTGTGGCTCAAAAAACCGGTACCACAATCAACCCTGGTAAGTGGAAACGTGGACCAAAACCTGCGTAACCCCTCCTGTTTAATTTTGAGCCACACCCAAATGGTGTTCAATGGTCTACCATGGCGGGAGCTGCTGGCTTGAGATGGTTTGCACTGGTTTGCCAACCAGAAAGCTTTCTGGTTGGGGCGCCCGCACATCGACAGGGCTGTTGCACCCGAACCGTGCATCCCGATGCCAGGCCAAACGTAACTTTATGCGCTTGGTGCCGAAGCGAAAAGTAGGGCGAGCCTGCGCATCCTTTCTAGGATAGCCAGACCTTGAACCCCTTACATCACATCATCGCAACCAGGCTGCTGCAAGACTACAGCCATGACCAAAGAGGTTCTAGCCATTTGTTGGCATCGTTGCAAGGCACCAACGATCGCAGGGTGCTGGAGAACCACAATTTGGGCGCCACGTATGTCAACTACGAAGTTTCCGTTCAGCGAGCAGCACAAGCATTTGTTGCCCTGCGTACTTGCTGCAGTGTTTCTCTCGCACGACAAACATACTAATTTGTGTCTACACCGACGCAAGGCCTCTTTATCGACGAACGCAGACATTTGAGGCCACGTGTGTGCACTACTGCAGGGTTTCCCTTGAGCAACAGACATAAACACTTGGCAGGAGATGTTGCAGCAGGTGGCAACTGTCATCGCAGCAGTTGTTTCTTTTGACAACGATCAACAGCATTTGGTACCATGTTTGCACTCACGCAGAGTGCCACTCGGCTCGATTCAGGCGGCGCTGTCAACAGAGACACTGTCATTTGCTATTGGGATATTTGCAAATTGGGCCTCAATGATTTGGAAGCTTGGTGTTTTGGCACTAGGCGTGGAACTCGTTGTGGTTATCCTCCAACAAAGAGGTTAGAATGAACCTGACAGGGACCTTTGAGATGAGGAGGATGATTCAGGGGCAGGGCTAAACGAGTTTCTGGCAGGTCCAGATCAGGATTTGGCTGATGTTCTGGGCTGTTTCCAAACGGCCTCTTTTATGGTGGCTTCTTGGCATGTTTTGCGTGTTTTTGTTGGGGGGTTTTGGGCGTTTTGGCCGCAGGCGCAGTGCGGCGAGGGCGCGCTGACCTGGAAGGTGGAGGTGCATGCAGAGAGGAGGCGAGGGGCTGTGCCCGCGTGGTGTGCCTGCCCGCATGCAGCGGAGAGTTCCTGGCGATTTTCCACCTTTTGCTTCCCAACGAAGCCTGTTGAAATGGGCCCGTCCAGCAAGCCAGCACAAATGCCAGGAACACAGCACGAGTTGCAAAAAGAGCAGATGAGTTCCATCTCGGAATTTCACTCCCCGTCTCGCTGTTTGAACAGGATATTCGCGAAGGAAGTTGCGTCATCCAAAAGCAGGCCCCCCGCCCCCCCCCCCGTTTTGATTCACAAGGACCTTCTGCATCCACCGCGTTTCTCGGAGTTCTCCGGTCCCAGGAGCTTCCCGCAGCCCTGGCAGGCCAGCAAGGTGCAAGTGCGCCCTGGCGGAACATCGAGCCGGGAGGAAGTGGCGCGTTGCGCCCAAATGGGTATGGGTCAAAATTACAGCACCAGGGGACCGCAGATTTTAGTCCTTGGTTCCATTTACCAGGGTTCCAAAAATGGATACCCATTTTTGACCCACAGGTAAAGGGATCACAGACATCCAGGGCTTTGTTCTGACCTTTGAGGATCCGCCTGGGCTTTGCTATGCGCTCGCCAACAAACAAAATACCAGCGCCCAGGCGGTTTCAAAAATCGAAGCCCATTTTCCGTTTTCATGATGGTGTTCAGGCAAGCACCAACAGAGTACACCAGACTAGAGCCTAGAGCGTTTTTTGCGGGAACAATCTGTCCTGGCTTACAACACGGTGGTTTACTCTTATCCGAGCAACTGGGCAGGGCAGTTGAGGTTCAAGGGCTAGTTCCAAATCGCGCTTGTCCTTGCAAAACAAATTCACATTCCCGCCCAACCTGACGTTGTTGCACAAGTCATGGCAAGCTCACTGGGGAGAAAGCAAGCACAACCATGTTCTTTTGGGGCGCGTCCCATGATTTAAAGTGCCACAGCTGAAGTGGGGGCAGAGGCAAATCGTGAATCCTGAATATCTCCCACCAACCCAGCAACGCTTTGAAAGCACATGACATTACCAGTGACCCCTGGCTCGTTCTTCTCTTGGGGCTTTCAGTTGGCGCAGCCTTGCGGTCGGATTGCTTCACGCAGGTCCCGCGGCGAGCCGGGGGCCACCGCCAGCGCTCTTCCCCCCCAGACCCGGCACTGGGAGCCCCCGCTGCAGCGGCTCGTTCCCAAGGGCCGCGCCTTTTTCGGTTGAGTCTCGGTGTCCGCCAAGACGGTCACCCCACGGTTGGCATACAGCAGGAGTGGTGGCAAGCTCGGCTCCACGAAATATTGTGCCGCCGTCTTTTTTTCAACACGAACATTTTGGTTTACTGAAGAAGCAAGTTGGTTTTGGAGACGTCGTAACGGATGATGCTGTATGCAATTTATACGTCCTGAGTGAACCCCGCGAACCCCGCGAACCCCGCGAATCCGCTCGCCCCTCAGCCCATAGTCGAATCCAGATGCGCCAGTTGACCCGCACGCCCTTAGCCAACCTGTTGCCCTGGCTGAGACTTGAAAACCCCCGGACAAGACAAGGACACCACTGGTAAGCTCCGAAGACTTAGCTGATGTTTTTGGTTGACCCCTGAGAGGTGTACCCTCTGTCTCCACTGCCATGAAAGTAAGATCAGCAAAAGGACATGGACGCTTGCTCCCCAAAGTCCCATCAGCGAGGAACACCTGAGGGTTGGCATTGAAAGGAAATAGCACGTTCTTGGCATTCCCCTTCGAGAAGCACCCAATTGCTTAAAGTCTCTGGAAGTGACCCTGGGACCCTCTTTTGATCTCAAAAGCCAGGAAGCATCCGAAAAGCTCAGCGTCAAAATCTGCCTTCTGCTGCTTTCGGTCAATGCTTTTGGGAGGTTTTGCGGCCATGCTGAGGCCACGTAGACAATCCTGACCTTGATTCCCATGGCCAATGGTTTGGATGCTTCCGAAAGCCCGGGACACCATTTTAGGTACCCACTGTGATGTGGGGAAGGCATAGCGGGACTGCCCCATGTTGCGGTCCAACCACTTCCCAACATACCTTTTGACTTTTGATCATGCTCCCGGCCTCATTGAAGGCAATCCTCATCATGGGCTCAAAAGGTATACTCAAAATTCTTGGACGGCCAAAGCTAGGCGACCAAAGCGTTTCCTTGGTCAAAGTTCGCCAAAGAACGAGCAATACCGGTTCTCATTCTTGAGTCGCACCTCCTTTTCCTCTAGTGGGCAACCAAGCCTTTTGTTGTCCAGGGTCACCCAAATGGTCCAGAAAACCTGGGGTGCAGCACCAAGTGGTGGGCAACATTGAACACTTGACGAAGACCTTGTGCGCGTTGCAAGCCAACCTTGACTTCTAAGGTGGAGCGTGGTGTGGTCGCAGCCCTGAGCACGGCTTCGCGTGCCTACCGGTACGGGCTGCTTTAAGGGCCAAGATTTATGCAGCAAGAATCCAGGCCCAACAATAATCGCAAATCCACCTATATGGGTGGTTGGGTATGATGGTTCACCTTTGCATCCATTCACCTCCCTTATCCACCACCACCATGTGTTCACCGCGTTGAAGCCAGAAATCCGTCCAATTCTCCGCCGTGTCATTCATCGTGACACTGCGTCGTACGTTTATTCTGTTGGGCGCCATTCATGTGTTGCTCCTCAGGGCCAGAATGACACAGCGACTCCTTATGTCAATGATGAAGGATTTATTGCCAAAAGGCTGCTTGAACAACTTGAACCAGGGTTTGCCATTTTCCAGCTGCTTCTCACGAACAGACATGGACACACCCTCTGAAATTGGTTGGAATCGATGCCTTCTGTGCCACCTGTTTTGCGCCCGTTTTCGGAGTAGATGCCTTGCATATTCGAAGACGTCTCTGAGGGGCTGGACACTTTCATGTTTCAATAGCAGGCGAAAGGCAAGCCCCGTGTGGAAACAGCGACACTCTGCGTGTACAGCGCCAGGCAAGCAGGCGAAAAAGGCTTGGGCTCGGGTCGCAGGGGATTGATGGGTTTTCCCACGCCCAAGAGAAAGGGAGATAGAGAGAGAGAGAGAGGGAGACACAGAAAGACAGACAGACCGCACACTTGCACACACAGAAATTGGGCTCCCCCATGTGAGTCTTTCCTTTCTGAAGATACAGGATCCAGTTTGGAATGGGCTCGGTTAGTCTTGAGGGCAGTTCGTCCAAATCAGCAGGGTTTTGTTTTGGCCCCGCTGGAGATGCATGGAAGCCGCTTGTGCATTGGCTTCCTGGCACTGCGCGAGGGTGCGTAGAGAGCCTTTCTTGGATGGTTTCAAAGGGAAGCATTTCAATCCATTGATCAGCAAGTTCCCTTTCCGACAGACTCCGGCTTTCCATTGGCTTTTGCGGTCAGACCGGTTCCAAGAGACGGGAGGGAGGAGCCGCCTGGAGAAAGTGTCTGGCTCCAGACATGAGACAGGCCTGTTCCATTCCCTGACAGGGTGTCAGGCGCGATTTGGGTTTGAGAGGAGGATGAGAACACAGAAGACTCTTCCGGCGCAACCATATTGTTTGCTTTGGCTTGAGAGCTAGCTACCCTTTCCCAGGTTGGTCTTGCTCTAATCAGGTTATAATCGGCCTTTGGTTTGGGGATAGGCTCAAAACCGCACGCCAGACACACTCCCTTGGAGATGGCTTAAGTCGAGCAAATCTGAATGCATGCGTGCGGGTTGCGGTGCTTCGGGCTTTTAGGACCGATTCCATGACTGGAATCGGACATCGCGATCAAGCGACATCTGTTGGTGGAACCCAGGATAAACATGGCTGACTTGTGGCTGCGCACCCTAAAAAGGAATTGAAATGGGAGAAGCCCAAAACGCTGTCCTTTTGTGTTGGCATGTTCACAGGCGCCGGGAGGGAGGGTGATGGCATCACTCGAAGCAAGCTGGCAAACTCGGGTAAAGTGAGATGAGCAAAAGCGGCTCACAACCACACCACCCCCTAAACCAAACCCAAAACTGCCCCTGCCCCTGCCCAGAACATACTTTCAAACCAATCTTAAAGCCCACTACCAAACCAAGGCCTCAATAGGATGCAGCTGCTGCTCAGCGCACGTTCCCTTGGCAGGGACCATCTGGAAGGCCCAAATGCTGGTATGCATTTGTTCTAGCCTGGGAGCCCCCAGGAAAATCCAAGAAGAAAAGTGCACACAGCATGATCCCGCTGATACATCAACCCAAAATGGGCTAGAATGGGGTGTTGCTTTCCAGTAGTTAAATGAATGCGGGTTCTCATTGTGTTTGGCTTGAGTTGGCCGCGTCTCAAGTAGGGACAGCTTCGAAAGGTTTTCCTTGCAACAACCCTAGCCCCACAAGATATTCAATTTTGCCACATTTTTGTTGGGAAGCGGCACAAAATCGATCTTTGCAGCTGAGACAAATTCTGGTCGTCCACTGGACAGATCCGAGCCACCCCATTTTCCCATGTCCCAACAAGAAGATTGACGGCTGACCCGGCCGCCCGCTTCTCGCAGGTGATGGGTCCATGGTTTCGGCCGCCAGGCTGGGTGTTGGACTATAGGTTGCTTTGTTGCAACCGGATCAGGTTGGCCGGGGTGCCTAAAGCTGGCTGGTTTTACCAATCCTGGGTTACATTCAATGTAGCTGCTGGTTGATCTTTGTTTGGATTTTGTGCCAGGATTTCAACTGTATGTTGTCCTTGACAAATCATTTCCAATGGAAACATATGCTCAATCTGCATTGTGCCTGCGAGGGCAGCAACCTTCATGTATTTTTGTTCTGATATCGACTCCGATGCCCTTGTTCTGTTTGGACGGCTTGACAAAAATCTCTTGTCGAGCAAATATGGCATCGCTAATTGCAACCCCACAGGCGACACGAGCTACTCTAGTCTGCAAGACGACTTCAATGCATGCAGCATACTTATAAATATTATGGACACATGTGTTGGAGAAAGCACGAAAGCAGGTGTGCTTTTGTTTGCAATAAATCAATTCATGTATACACGCCTACACACAGACATATTCAAGCGCAAAAATGTACATGACCAAGCAGCCACATCTATATACATATACACAAATCGAGCAACCCCTATATGTGTCTTGCAGCGTTTAGTTTTCGCCCTTTTCCTCCCAGCCTCACTTCCGGCCTCCCGCTTCCAGTTGCGGCGGCGCTGCTGTTGATCCCGGCCCGGGGCTTCCGGCTTCCGGCTTCGGGGCGGAGAGGTCTTGGTCGCTGGTATGGGATATGCAGGCAGCAGGTCTGGGACTATTGTTCTGGTGTCCAGGGATGTGTCAGGACTAGAGGCTTCTTTCGGACGGTTTTAAGCGGAATGCAAATGAGGAACCAAGCTTTTGGGAGGTGCCGCTCCAGAAGGTGAGGGTTGCCTTTGGTTCGCCGGCGGTGGTGCTTCCTTTGTACCTGAAGAGAATGAGACGGGTCATTTCGGTGCGTGTCACAATACCTCAAAAATTGTCGCTTTCCTTTGGTTTCCCTTTCTATAAACCAACCTGAAGAAGGGTAAACTTAGAAACACACACCCATTTGGGTTATGGAGAAATTGTCGGTTCTAGGAAGCAGCGCCCGCATATCTTCCACGTGGCGCACCCCTTCCAACCTGGAACAAGGCCAACAAACATCTCAAACAGGTTTGGAGTTTATGAACCTCTTCCAGACTACTAGAGCGCCTAGTTACGTGCACAGCGTGCGGCGTTATTCCCCATGCCTGCACGGAGCATCGCTGCGAAACGTTTGGGTGCAGAGCAAGATGTTAGTATTCGGGGAGTCATGGAGTCTCGGGTGATTCGTATTAAAGACGATACCCTCTCACACCTCGAGATGAGTTTCTAGGTTGACACCACAAACCAAGCTGCAAAAATGAGATGCAAAGGAGCAAGTCTAAGTCTTGATGGGTTCCCTCGTTCCCAAAAAAAAACACCTTTGACACCCCCCACAAACGGAGGCATTTGCGATTGGTCAGGAGTTTACATGTCCGGGTGATGAACATCTCTGCCCTCAAGTGGTGGGGTTTCTTCAAAGAGGCGAAGTCTGAATGGTCTGGGGAGATTGGCTTCTGAGTGGAAAGGACCCAGATGTTTCGGCCCACACAGTCCTGTGGAAAGGACCCCTTACCTTCAGGAAACACCATGTTTGTACTGCGGCGAGGCAATGCCAGCTTCCATGCGCTTGGCAACTCACGCTCGCGCCCATGCCCTTTTGATCGCCTTGCCGCTCCGGAGGATAGGGGATCGTAATTCGAGACGCTTCTCATGCCAGCAGTTTCAGCATCCCGTGTCTGTCCACGTAACCTACAACCGCCTACTCTCAGCACCCCCAGCTCAGCGCGGTGACCCTTGACCGAAGCTGTCGAACATGGGCTGCGCGGCCTCGGTGGCACCCATGGAACTGCCAGGCGGGTCCCGGAGTCCTCCGCGGGCTTGGCCCCGCGGGAGTTCGCACCCCCAGGTGAGGTCAAACATGGCGAAAGCATGGGCCGTGTTTTCCGCCACGACCCCTTTTTTGGCATTGTGGTTTTTGGGCCCTGTTTGTGGCAGTGGACGGGGGAAATCTCATGGACAGTCAGCTTTCAGCATTTGGGCAAGGGAGCCAACATGATGTTCGACAGGCTTTTCTTGACCATTCTGGTACAGGCCAAAACATGCCCCTTGTCCAGGTAGTTCGTCCCGTCCCCTCATCTCAGGGTAGAGAATGTTTGGGGCTTTTCTTAGTGCGGGTTCTGGCTTGTCGCTTTGCATCAAGGGCGGGCACACGTCTCTTTTTGGTGGCACTTGCTCCAATGATGGCCTGGTCAGGCTTTCTTTCTGTACTCTGCCCAACCATCCAAAGTCGAGTGGCCTTGCAACCACTTAGCATCCAACAAAAAGCTGACCGGCAATCTTCCAGGAAGCCCCTCAGCTCAGTTTTGAGGCCCTGATCGAAGTTTAAGGGGCACGTGGCAGATAGAACCCACTTTGGCATCACGTTGCAGTCAGTTTTGTTTGCTGTCACCGCTTCCTGAAATTGGAGCACGGGAAGATATGTGCATTGCTCCATGGAGCCCCCTGCCCGCTTTGGGAATCTTACCAACTGGCCAGGCCACACCTTCAGCATCACTGCGGAGGAGAGTCGCTTTTGTTCAGTGGGGACGTAGATGTGTTCTTTCCTGGTCGGTGTTGCAAGAAAGTGGGAGTTTGTGGGGTATGGTTTGAGGGTATGGTTTGTGGCTGGTTTGTGATTTGATTGATTGAAGTTTTCTATGTGATTTTCTCATTGCATTTCCCATCTACTGTTCTATGTTTTTAGGTTGCTGTTTCCGTTTAATTTCAGTGCCTTTAGTTTTAAGGGTTGCGCCCGACACCAGCTGCGCTGCCTGTCTGGAGAGAAAGGGTCTCGCCTTGTCTGTTGCTGGATTTTGATGCGTCGGAGCCTACGAATGCTTCTCGAGGATCAAGTCCGCTCTCAGAGCATTGGCCTCGACACTTTGCTTCCATTGCTTTTCCAAGTATTCCCAGTTGAAGCTCTTCCCTGCGAAAATCCCAGGCAACACAAGGGACCCCCGCAAACGGTTGGTTCACTCGCTCGGATTGTCTCGAGCTCAGGAGTCCAAACGCTTGGACCAGGGCAGCTCCATGAGGACCGACCGGTTTGTGAACCACGGGGTTTGGAACGAGTCACTATTTGTCCAAATCGGGGAAGCCTAAAAATGGTGACGTTGGTTTCCTTTCGGGATTCGTTGGCGGTTGTTTTTCCCGATTGTTGGAGTAGACGTGGCAGCGCTGCCGGAGGTGAAGCGAAAGAAGTGTCCCGCCAACTGTTTGCCTGTTGCTTTGTTAAGGCAGTAAGAAGAGTCCCCAGTTTTAACGCAACTCACCAAGGTTTTAAAGATGGGCCTCCAATCATTTTATTGTTCTTTTGTCTGTAGGAGGAGCATGGAGGTGTTCCTCAAAGCTATCCTTTCAGAGCTTTAATTGGTGGATTGCTTGGTGAATCCA